TTTTTTTTTTTTTGCCTCCAAATGATTTTGAGTTTTGTTCCACATTGTTCTCTTTTTTTTTTTCATCACTTCAATTTTGTTTCATACAAGGAAAACCCTTTCCCATTTTGAGATTTTTTTTTAATTTCCCATATTTTCCCAAAATTCTTTATTATTTTGTTTTTTATGTTTAAGTCTTGAGCCATTGGGAACTTATTTGTTGTCAGATGAGAGGTTGGCTGGGTTATCATTTAGGAATTGGGCTTCACTGCTGGTTGTTGTTGTTGTTACCTACCATTGAGTTGGCCCCCAACTCATGGCAAACCCATGCGCAACAGAACAAAATGCTGCCCAGTCCTATTCCATGCCCATGATCATATGCAGGCAGGCCCTTTGTGATCCATAGAGTCTTTATTGGCTGATTTTCAGAAGTAGATTGCCAGGTCTTTCTTCCTAGCCTGTCAATCTGGAAACTCCACTGAAACTTGTTCAGCATCATGGTAACACGCAAGCTTCCACTGACAGATGGGTGGTGGCTGCACATGAAGTGAAAGTGGCCAAGAATCCTACCACCAATGCTCCCTGGCTACCTTTTCAGCCTCATTTGTGATGTTTTTTTTTTCCCCTTCCTTAAATATTGTGGCTCAGGGTTTTGACCTGGTCACTAGCTGTGCCCTATCCCCAGGCACTCTCAGCCATTCCCATGGCTTTACATACCCTTCATATTTACTCTTCTGAGATCCACACCCACATATCCAACTGCCTTCTAGGTTCTCCACTTGGGTGGCTCACAGGTCCCTCACACCAATTACATTTCTTTTTCCAAAGGGACTAGACCTCAGTGAAAGGCATCACCATTCACCCAGCCAACCAGAATCCAAGGTACCATCTTTTGCCTCTCCTGCTTTAACATCCAATCCCCAAATCCTGCCAATTCTACCTCCTAAACATCCTCCAAACATCTCCACTTAGCTCTATCCCTTTGGCTGCTACTATCTCTGGTGTACATGACTGCAACAGTGTCTTAACAGGCCTCCCAGCTG